GCTGACGCCGACGATGATGATGACGATGATGATGCTGATGATCCTGATCAGGATTATGATGAGGATGATGTTGAGGATGATGCTGATGTTGATGCTGCTGCTGATGATGAAGATGATGGTGCTGACGCTGATTATGATGATGATGCTGATGCGAATGACAATGATGATGCTGCTGATGATGCTGTTGATGACGATGATGATGATGATGATGATGATGATGATGATGATGATGATGATGATGATGATGCTGATGATTGCTATGAGAACGGTGATTATGATGATGATTATGCTGATTCGGATGATGAGGATGATGCTGATGATGCTGATGATGCTGATGATGACGACGATGCTGATGATGATGATGCTGATGATGATGCTGATCAGGGTGACGATGCGGATGATGATGGTGGCAGTGGTGGGGTTAATGCTGCTGCTGCTGACGCTGCTGCTACTGCTGCTGCTGTTGCTTATCCTGCTGCTGCTGTTGCTGCTGCTGCATCTGATGATGCTGCTGCTGCTGATGATTATGATGATGATGATGATGATGATGATGATGATGATGATGATGATGATGATATGATGATGATGATGATGATGATGATGATGATGATGATGATGATGATGATGATGGTGATGATGATGATGATGATGATGATGATGCTGATGCTGATGCTGATGATGATGATGATGGTGGTGGTGGTGGTGGTGGTGGTGGTTGGATGATGATGATGATGATGAGGATGAGGAGAGGATGAGGATGAGGATGAGATGATGATGATGATGATGATGATGATGATGATGATGATGATGAGGATGATGATGATGATGATGATGATGATGATGCTGATGATGATGATGGTGGTGGTGGTGGTGGTGGTGATGATGATGATGATGAGGATGAGGATGAGGATGAGGATGAGGATGATGATGATGATGATGATGATGATGATGATGATGATGATGATGATGATGATGATGATGATGATGATGATGATGATGATGATGATGATGATGATGATGATGATGATGATGATGATGATGATGATGATGATGATGATGATGATGATGATGATGATGATGATGATGAGGAGGAGGAGGAGGAGGAGGAGGAGGAGGAGGAGGAGGAGGAGTGGAGGAGGAGGAGGATAGGAGGAGAGGATGATGATGATGATGATGAGAGGAGGAGGAAGAGGAGGAGGAGGAGGAGGAGGAGGAGGAGGATGAGGAGGGGGAGGAGGCAGAGGAGGAGGAGGAAAGAGTAGGAAAACGAGGAAGGCCGCCACATGTACAGGAGCTTAGGTTTAGGCCGTCTTGGGGCTGCATTCGCCTCCTGTAAGGCAGTCTTAGGGGGTCCCATCGGGACTCTTGGGCCGTCTTTGGGCTCTTTTACGTCGTCTTGGTGCTCTCTTGGGCCGTCTCTGGTCCCTCTTGGCCGTATGGTGGGTGTCTGGGGACCTCGTGGGGCTTTCTCGGGCAGTCGAAATGCCTTTAAGACCGTCTTGGTTCCCACGGAAGGCCCTCTCGGGCCGTTTTGGGGTCGTCTTTGATGCCTCATGGGCCATCGTGAGACCTCTTGGCCCATCTTGGGACCCTCTTTGGGGCCTCTTGGGCCGTCTTGGGACTATCGTGCAGGCGTCTTGGACCGTCTTGAGCTGACGGAAGCCGGAAAAGGCGTGTGTTGGAGGTCCTCCTGTGGCTTTTTGGGCCCTCTTAGAGGCATCATTGGCCGTCTTGAGGCCATATTGAGCCGCCCTGGGTCGTCTTGAGTCGTCCTCGAGACTCTCGGGCCATCTCGGTGTCCTTGGTTGCCTGCACGCACCGTCTTGGGAGCTCGTGACGCTCGTCCATCGTTTTTCACGGGGGGTCGTAGCCTCGGGAGCGCGGATCCATGTTTTGTGTTGAGCGATCGTGGCCTCGGGGGAAGGGGCGGTGCATGCGGATATGCGAGAAGGGGGGGAGGGCGCCCCTTGTTAGAATACAGAAGCCCTGCCAGACAGCCCATGGCATTCTTCCACGCCTCATTGTGCACAAGGCGCGGCGGCGGACCATCGCCTGTGCGGTCGTGAGTACGACTGCTGTACGCCGCCATGGGCGAAGCTTGAAGCTTTCTTTGCCTAGTCGTCTCTGTTAGCGTGGCCCGCTGGATGCACCTGTGTGTGCATTCCCATCGCGGCGCCGGAAATAACAAGTGTGCCGGTGTCTCCTGCTGGGCACGTGCAGCATGGCTTCTCCGTGACATCCGCAGTGGGTCGTGGCATGCGGGCTCCGGTGGGTGCAGTCCCTCGCGCTGGCTCTGCACGGTGCAATGCGAGTGGCGTCGCATGTTCGGCATTGACGCGTGTCTGGGTTTGTGCTGAGAGCCAGCATTTCCGACAGGATTGTGAAGGCCTGACGGCCGGTGCCGCCGACCCTGAAAGACATCGACGACGACCAGGAGGGGGGGAGAAGGAGGAGGAGGAGGAGGAGGAGGAGGCGGAGGAGGCGGCGGAGGAGGAGGCGGAGGAGGAGGAGGCGGAGGAGGAGGAGGAGGAGGAGGAGGCGCAGGAGGAGGGAGGCGTATTTGGGTTTGTGCTGAGAGGAGGAGGAAGAAGAAGAAGAAGAAGAAGAAGAAGAAGAAGAAAAAAAAAAAAGAGTTGAGGAGGAGGAGGAGGAGGAGGAGGAGGAGGAGGAGGAGGGGGAGGGGGAGGAGGAAGGGGAGGAGGAGGAGGAGGAGGAGGAGGAGAAGGAAGGGGAGGAGGAGTTGGAGATGGAGGAGGAGGAGGCGGAGGAGGAGGAGGAGGAGGCTCAGGAGGCTCGGGAGGAGGAGGAGGAGGAAGAGGAGGAGCAGGAGGAGGCGTGGGAGGCGTTTATGGGTCTGTGCTGAGGGCCAGCGTGCCCGACAGGATTTTGACGGCAACCGGGTCGTCGGCCCGTCGGCCGGCAACGTGATCACGGCGAGGCGTCCCGGCAGCGAGCGCGTGCCTTTTCTCGCAAGGTGCCTACTCGCGAACGTCCGAAAAACAGATGCCGGCTTTGGTGTGATTCATCGTAGATCCCCGCGGCGTATCCAGGCCATTTGCGAGTAGTTACTTTGCGAGTAGCGGAAAGCGCTCGTCTAACATTTGGCGGCAAAGGGGATGGGGGAGTAGAACACGAGTACAGAAGCCATGCGCCAGCCCTTGATCCGGCGCTTGTGCACGTTGTCGAAGCATAGGGACTGCCCCAACGTTGCAGAGAGCTGCAAAGCCGAGGGGGTCCTGTTCTCAGTCCCCGCGCTCTTTCTCACTGTTGTCGCCCCCACTTTCCACTCCGCCTTCCCTTACCTCCTGCTCCTCCCGCTCCTTCTAATCCAGCTGCTGCTGCTGCTGCTGCTGATGGTCCTCCTCGTCCTCCCGCATCCTCCTCTTTCTCCTCCTGCTCATTCGACTGCTCATCCGCCACTTCATCTTCGAATGAACGCAGCTCCCCATCTCCGATTGTGTATACAACGATGGGATCATTTTTGGAATTCCTCGTCCGCTGTGACCTGCGTCGGCGTGTGGGGGAGAAATTGCGCAATTGGAGAGGATGGATGGGAGGGGTTCAGGAGGGGAAAAGCACACAGACACAAATAATCGTCGATTGCCAGGACATGTGAAACACATGGGAGGTGGATGGGAAGACAACCATCCAACAAATATTGGCAAATACGGGAGACCCTCGGATTTGTGTAGATCTATTTGTGTCCTTGGGCCCCACTGAGGATGTCAGAGATGGCGCGAGTGTGCCTAGCTCGCCTCTCCCTCCCTCCCCCCCTTCACCCCCTCCCTCCCTCCCTCCCTCACCCTCCCTCCCTCCCTCTCTCCCTCCCTCCATCTCCCCTTGCCTCCTTCGAGGCCGCTTCGCGTCAGCCCCAAGCGCAGCCCCGGCGCGGCCGGCGGATGGGGCTGGGCAGGGGCAGGACGCAGGACGCGCGAGGCTGCTTTGCAGCGCAGGGCTCTGACGCTCGGGCTCCACTCCCGCTGATTCCCCTCCCTCCGACGCCCCGCTGCCTCCGCTCACCCATCCTCCCGCCCCCTGTGAACACCCCTCTGTCGCTCCCCCTGCCCCCCCCCCCTGGACCTCTCTCCCTCCGCCTTCCCCCGCCCCCCGTCCCTCCCCTGCTCCCCCACTCCCCCTGCCTCCCCTCTCCTCTCCCCCGCGGTGTGGGGGGGGGGGCTCCAGCCCTCCCTCACTCCCGACGCCCCCCGGTGCGTCTGTCAAGCCGCTGCGACCGAGCCGCAGGTCCGCCTGGGGCAGCAAGAACTCCATGACGAGCACGGTCCCCGCCGCGGACGCCCCGGCCGCAGACGTGCCATCGGCGGGCCCAGCGCCGCGCGCCGCTGGGGAGGAGGAGGATGATGATGATGAGGAGGAGGAGGCGGAAGAGGAGGAGGAGGAGGAGGAGGAGGAGGAGGAGGAGGAGGAGGAGGAGGAGGAGGAGGAGGAGGAGGAGGAGGAGGAGGAGGAGGAGGAGGAGGAGGAGGAGGAGGAGGAGGAGGAGGAGGAGGAGGAGGAGGAGGAGGAGGAGGAGGAGGAGGAGGAGGAGGAGGAGAAGAAGGCAGAGGAGGAAGAGGAGGATGAAGAGGATGAGGAGGCGGAGGAGGAAGAGGAGGAGGAGGAGGCGGAGGAGGAGGAGGCGGTGGAGGAGGAGGAGGAGGAGGAGAAGAAGGAGGCAGAGGAGGAGGAGGAGGAGGATGAGGAGGATGAGGAGGCGGAGGAGATGGAGGAGGAGGAGGAGGAGGAGGAGGCGGAGGAGGAGGAAAAGGAGGGAGAGGAGGAGGAGGAAGAGGAGGAGGAGGAGGAGGAGGAGGAGGAGGAGGAGGAGGAGGAGGACCAGTGTAAACCCGAGAGTCATCAACGATGTTGGAATTAACTCTTCCCCAAAGCTCCCTCTTCACAGCCCCCTACAACGGTTAATTTCCACAGGGAACTGCCTCGTTGGAAGACAACCGTTTGAAGACCCTGAAGCATGCCAAAACATTGCTGTCGGGATTCCAACGCCACGGATCAATATGACTGTTGCGTCTTGACGGTCTTGAACCGTACCAGAACAGCATTCTTGGGACTCCAACACCGCGAATCAACGTAACTGCTGCGCCCTCCTAATCCTCAACCCTTTTACAAACGATCACCATGTCTGGTACGCACGCTGATCATGGGAATCCGTGAAACTCTTGCAAACTTGACAGTATAATGTGCGCGGCGCTAAGGCGAGAGCCACATTTTGAAAAGGAGCCGCCCTCGATTTGTGAAACCCTCGACAATGTTTAAAACGAATATGCGCGGCGCTAAGGCGAGAGCCACATCTTGAAAACCACCCGCCCTCAATCTGTAAAACTCTCTGAACATTTTTAAAACGATTGTGCGCGGCGCAATGGCGAGAGCCACATTTTGACCCCCCCCGCCCTCAATCAGTGAAGCTCCTACAATTTCGAAAAACGACGGAGCGCGGCGCAATGGCGAGAGCCACATTTCGAAAACGACCCGCCCTCCATCTGTGAAACGGTGGCCAATTTGAAAGCCTCCGGGTCATAAGTGGTGAAACAGTCTCAGGCGAAACGTCCGGACCGCCCTAAAAACTTGCCTCAGGGTGCGACAAGGAGAAGTTATGCATAAGAAAAACGAATGTAGGAGGAGGAGGAGGACGAGGAGGAGTAGGGGGGGATAAGGAGGAGGAAGAGGAGGAGGAGGGGGAGGAGTAGGAGTAGGAGTCAAGTAAGCCAGCTCGAGAGAGTCAAGCATGGCATGCCCATTCGCACCCGCCCTCCCACAACATAAGAAACAGTGCTGACGCAACTGGGGGCCGAAATCAGATCCGCAAGGTGGTTTGGCACAGCTAATGCAGCCGCATGACGGTTACCGATGGGGAATTCCTGGTGCGTCTCAAAGACTGCGCTGGCATGTTAGCACGAGCCGAGGATGCCCCAGGAGGCCCCAGGAAGCCTCAGGAGGCCCCAGGAGGCCTCAGGAGGCCCCAGAAGGTTGCAGGAAACCCCAGCGAACCCCAGGAATAGCGTGGGCTGCCGCTCCTGAACAAACGGCGCCCTCCAGGGCGCGAAGTGATTCGCGCTTCGCGCTTCGCGGTTCGGCTCCGATTCCTTCTCATCCTCTTCTTCTCCCCTGGGAGGCGGCGCGAGAGCGCGAAGTTATTCGCACTTCGCGCTTCGCGCAGCGAAGCGGGAAGCTGGGAGCCCTTGTGAAGCGCCAGCCCGCCCTGTGCCTTCACTCCGCGGCTGCGGGGCCGTGACGTATGGGCCAGCTCGCCGCCCATAGCTGCCCTTCTCGCGCTTGGTTTCGCGTTTTTCTTTTCATGCGCTGACGCGTGCGTGCATGTGTACAGCATGGGCCATCCCCCTTGGTGCGTGGAGCCCTCCCTATACCTTCATTCGCGGCTGCGAGGCCGTGGCACTTGGACCAGTTTGCCGCCCAGGGATAGCCCCTTGCACGTCGTTGTTTGTTTTTGTTGCAGGCCCCGATCTTGCGTCGGGCCACGCGCCGGCCGATCCTCCGCGCCCGCGTCACTGGTGTGGCGCTGGAAGGTTGTGTCCTCCGTTTGCGGTGCGTTGTGCGTCGGGTATCGATTCCTTCTCTCCTTCCCCTCTTTCCCCTTCCTTCGTGTCTCTTCTGCTAACATGTTATTGTTAGTCACCGCCACCACGGTCGCGCACTATGGGTCTCACGGCGTTTGGACTTCGCGCTCCTTTGATGATGCGCCGCGTCATCTTTTGTGACAGTTTGCAAGTTTTTTTCGACCAGTAGTTAGTCCCCAGCTCGTCTTCACGTTACACGCTGCGCTTTACCGAGTGGCTGAGCCGGAGCGGCCTGCGGAGTATATGTTGGCCCTCCCTTCCGTGTCCCTCTGTGCTTGGGCAGGTCGTCTCTCGTGCAAGCCACTAGTCGGCAGCCAACAAAAACAATCTCTGTCCATCATCGGCCTCTTCGGGCTTTCTTGACCATCTGTACGGCCCGCGTGGCCTGTCGTGGGCAATTTGGAAGCGGCCTGGGGCAGTCCCGGGGGGGTCTGTGACCCCCCAAAGGTTCGGGGGGGCGGCCATGGGGGATGACGGCACCGATTTGGCTCCCCCCCGGCCTATATATATGTATGTATATATGTATGTATATATGTATGTATATATACATGTATATATATACATATATATATGTATGTATCTCTCTTTATATATATATACATATATACATATATACATATATATATATATGTATGTGTGGGAAGGCATGGGACACGGATGAACGTCCCGAAAGTATGGGAAGTCGGGGGTGTCCTTGGACTTGTGCCGATCCCTTTGCGTGCCCCCTGGGCCTCTCCCTGCTTCGCGGACCTCTGCCGGCGGCGCGCCCGTCCTTCGCTGCGCGGCCAGGGCGGCGGCGGCGGCGGCGGCGGCGTGCGCAGCGGCGCGGCGCGGCGTGGCAGCGGCCGTCGCCCAGGGGGAGCCGTCCGCGGGGCGCGCGCTGCCCACGCGCCGCAAGCTGTCCATGCAGGCGCCCTCGTCCGCTCCCGGGCCTTCACGGGGGGGGTCTCGGTATCGCTCGGGCGTGTGCACTTGTTCTCGGCGGGGATTCGGAAGGAGCGTCCTGGGTCATCCGGCGAAGAAGCCGCGCACGAGACCGGAACAAGCACAGGGAGTGGACGTCCGAGCGATGGCCAGGGGTGGGGGGCGAGCGGGCGTGACCGTCGGAGGGGTGCGGGGTCGGAGGTCGGGCGAGGAAGAGGAAGGGTCAAGTCGGGCCTGTTCCTCTACGTTTTTTTTTTTTTTTTTTTTCTTTCTTCTTTTTTTTTGTGTGTGTGTGTGTATGTTTGAATATTTGTTGGGGTATTTTGAGTATTTTCATGTTTTGGTCCAAAATCCGCCTGTAGGGGGACAGGCCCGACCTAACCCTGACGGCTCATGTCATCGAATCGCCTGTGCCTGGAACTCTCGACCCCCCCCCCCGGTGGCTGGCTTTTCGTCCCGAGTCATCGTTTGAGGGTCCTAAGGCCAGGAAACAGTCCCTGAGCGCCGGGCCTGCTAGCGGAAAGCCCCTGGCGCGATCTTTCCGAGTCGGGTCTGGCCAGTTTTTTAGGGGAGAGAGGGCAAGAGAGGGAGCAAAGGACAGAGGCATACATGGCGACAAGTACTGGACGTAGAGGAGGGCACATGGTTGTATATGGGGATGACAGTGGAAGGCAGGGACTCGAAATATTCAATGGCCTTCGACCCATCCGGCCACCGTGCTTGGGTTGTAGGTCAGAGGCCTCTGGGGTACCTGTGGGGATGTCTTGGGAGGCCTCCTGGAGGCCTCGCTGATTCGGTTTTGGGGTGTCATCTGGGCCTCTCGGGGGTCTCTTGTGGGCCTCTGGGGGCTTGATTTGGCCGTGTCGAGGGCCTCCTGGAGCTCGCGAGGGACCTGCTGGCGGTCACGGGGGGCGGGCCTCTTGGGCCTAGGGTTAAGTCGGGCCTGTTTCTCTACAGGAGGAATGTTCAAACATAGTCAACAATAGTCTGGGGACGATTTTTTTTTTACAATTTCTCATCATTTTTTGAACATATTTGGCCTATTTTTCATTTTTCGTCCAACATCCCACTGTAGGGGGACACGCTCGACCTGAGCCGAAGGGCTCGAAAAGTGGGTTCGTGTTCACCCTCTGGGGCCTCTCTTGGGCCCCTCGTCGGGCCCTATTGGGCCGTCTTGGGGGCATCTAGGGCCGTCGGGGGGCGCTCTTGTGGGCCTCCCGGGCAGTTTTCGGAGCGAGCTTGGGGACAGATTCGGCGGTCTTTGAGCGTCGAAAGCCCGAAGAGGCGAACATTCGAAATCTAAAACCGTCAACAAAGGGAAACCCATGATTTTGACATCTCGGGGCCCTCTCGAAGGGCCTCTTGGAGGCTTCTTGGGCGTCTCGGGGGCTTCTTTGGATGTCTGGAGGCCAGCTTGGGCGTCTCGGAACGATCCTTCGGCGATTCTGGGCCTCTTGCGGCGTCTGGGGGGGCCATCCCTGGGGCCATCTGAGCTCGTTTGGGGGCCCTCCCGAGCGAGGGGGTCCTCCGGGAGGCCCGCGCAGAACACCCTGGAAGCGACCGAGAGCGCGGGAGGGCGCTCGGGAAACTACGGGCCCGAACCTTCGAGACCTTACGAACCGTTTGCCGCTCAGAGCTGCATGCCCAGAGGTCCGACGTCGTGATTTTTTCAATGCGCGGTCCCCCGAAGTCTGGACCCATGCCCCAGGACCGGTTTTTCATCCCGAGTTGTTTCTTGACGCTCCCGGGGCCCGCGAGGGCCCCTAGAGGCCGAAAGGTGAGAAACATTTCCGTATTGATTTTGTCATACGTTGGATCTCTGGGCGCGCCTTGGGCCACTCCACTGCGTGCCTCCAGCCAGGCACGATGGCAGGTAGCGCTGGGGGTTCTCGCATTTTGCAGCCTCTGGGCGCCGTTTCTGGGCCCCCCTGGACCGTCCACAACTGTCCGAGACGACAGATCGGCACTGGGCAAGGGGTCGAGAGCTCCAGATGCTCTGGAGGTTCAAATCGTCTGAGGCCTAGGGAGGGGCATGAGAACGGGGGGGTGCGGAAGTTCAGCAGGGCACAGGCTCAGGCGGAGCGCGCTCCTGACGCCTCCAGACATCAAGCGGCTCCCAAAATCGAGGCGGCCGGTTTGTCGCCATTTGTCGGCCCTTGAGGACCACGGCCATCTGGATGGAGAAGGAGGAGAAGCCTTTTGGATGCCTCTTGGGCCTCGAGGAGGTCTCGAGGAGGCCTCTTGGAGGCCTTTTAGGGGCTTCTTGGGGGCCTCTTGGAGTCTTCCCGGGTGCTGCTCTGGAGCCTCTGGGGGCCTCCTGTGTACAGTCGGACCGAGGTGTAAGATCGAGGTCTGTTCGGGGAGGGTGCCCTGATGTTCTTCGTGCTTGTCGGATGTTCTCGTGCATTCTGGGTCAGGGTACCCTCGAGTGGTCGTATGGTTTGGGGTGCTCCGGCTGGCGGATTGCCTCGTGTCCTTGCATGGTGTTCTTCTGCCCCACAACCCTCCTCGAAACCAAACGCTCGTTTTCCTGTGGATCGGCGCGCGAAGCGCTGCCCGCGGGGTCCGTTTTTTGTTTGGTGTCTGCAGTCGCCGACTTCGGTGCGAGCGTGGAACTTTTGGGGGCCCAGGGGCGCGACCGCTTCGCGGGCAGCACTTGCGCGTGATCTCGAGGAGGGATGTCGGCCCGACGGTTCCTGCTGGGGGCGCGCGGGCTGCCTCGGGGGCCCTTCTTGGGGAGGGGGGCTCCACAGGGCAGTCCGACCTCCCTCCTCCCGGGCCAGGGGCCCTCGTGAGGGCCTTCTTGCGCCCTCTCGGGGGCCTCGGGAGCAGTATCGGGGACGCTGGCGGCGCATCACCGGCCGCTGCCCGGGAGTTTGTCGAAGTGGTGCGCAGCATCGAAAGTCGTGACGCGGCGCGTATGCCAGCTAGCGCGCGTTGCTAATTTGACAGGCCCGTGGCCCGGACCTCTCAGCTCGGCGACTGCGAATCCGCGTCCGCCCGCGACCGGAAAAGTATGCCAGCTAGCAAATAGCCGTCGGCCCATGCCGCCACCGTGCTTGGGTTTTGGGTCGGAGGAGTCCTCATGGACGCTCTTTGGGGTCTCGAGAGGGCTCTCGGGGGCCTTGGCGGGGGAATTTGGGGGCCTTTTGGGGGCCATCCTGGGGGCTTCTTGGGAGCCTCTTGGGGCCTCTTGGGGCCTTTGGGGCTCTCTTGGGGCCTCTTAGAGTTTCCTGGGGGCCTCATGGAACGCATGGAAACGCATGTAAAGCACCACGCGCCTTCGGTGTGGAGGCTGCAGGGTAATCCGCAGCATCCGCCGCAAGTCGCTTTGCCAGTCCTTCTCCCCTCCTCCTCCTTCCCTCCTGCTCTTCTCCTTACTCCTCTTCCTCCCCCTGGCTATCCCATAATATTGTGTTGGATTTACTGCAGTGGCCGTTTGGGCCATGCGGTAGGGGTTGTGACACAATGTGTGCAAGTCTAGCCCGATACGTTTTGAGGGCAATTCGTATCAGCCGCGTCTCCTAAGCACTGGCGAAAAGCCGGTCTTAATTAACTTTTCTGTGCGTGTTTCTGGGGAGTTAACCTACTCACGCGCCCACGCCCAAGGAACAAAACAAAGTGTTTCCTGGGGGCCTCTTGGGACCGAAAGCTTGAAATGTTCATTCGGGTTCCCCTTCTGGGCGCCTTCTTGGGGCCGTCCTGGGGCCCTCTTGGGTCGTCCTGTGCCGTCTTGGGGCCCTCTTGGGCTGTCTTGGAGCTCTCTTGGGGGCTTGTTGGGCCGTCTCGGGGCGATCTCTCGGGGGCCTCTTGGGCCGTCTTGGAGCGTCGGTAAGCCGAAATGGCGAGAACGCGAGGGCAAACAGGAGGAGCAGGGGCCACATAAATCTGTATAATCATCTTGGGAGTATCGTTGGCATGGGGCAGTCCCGGGAGTATTGTCGGAGGCTTCAGGTCAATTTCGGTGACCTCTATTTTTGGTTGGGGTCGCTCGAGACTGGGGGTCTTGTACGGGTCTCTTGGGGGATGCTCTTGGAGGCTTCTTGGGGCGTCTTGGAGGCGTCTAAACCTAAGGCTCCTCAGAGGCCATCTGGGGCGTCTTGGAGCGATCCCGCCACCATGATTGGGTGTGTGGGTCAGAGTCCTCATGGACGATAATGGGGGTTGGCTCGGGCAGTTTGGTGACTCGTGGGGGTTCCCTGGGAGCTTCTTCGGGGCCTCTTGGGTCTGTCTCGGGGGTTCTTGGGTGCCCGTGGAGGCCTCCTGAAACCTTTGCGGCGGGACTCTTAGGTCATCCCGGGGACCTCGTGGCCCTCGGTTCATCCCGCCACCGTGCCCGGGCTGTGAGTCAGGGTCCTGGTGGTCGTTTCTTGGAAGTTCCTCGGAGACTTTTACGGGACTTATGTTTTGGAGCCTCTCGAAGGCTTCTTTCGGACCTCTTGGGGGTCCTGGGAGATGCTCTTGGGGGTTTGCTCGGACGTCTTTGTTTGGACGTCTTGGAGGCATCTGAGGGCCTCTAGAGGCTATCTTGGGCGTCTAGGAGTGATGCCGCCACTGTGCCTGGGTTGTCGGTCAGAGTCCTCATGGGCGCTTCTTGGGGTCTCTTCGGAGGTCTCTCAGCGGCCTCTGCGGGGCAGTTTGGAAGCCTCCTGGGGGCTTCTTCGGGGCCTCTTGGGGGCCATGCTGGGGGCCTCTTGGGGCCTCTTGGGAGCCTCCTGGGGGCTTCTTAGGTCCTCCTGGGGGCCTCTTGGAACCGAAAGCTCGAAATGTCCGTTCGGGTTCCCCGTCTCGGCGCCGAAAGATCGAAATGTCCGTTCGGGCTCCCCGTCTGGGCCCCCTCTTGGGGCCGTCCTGGGGCCCTCGTAGGCCGTCCCGGGGGCCTCTTAGGCCGTCTTGGTGCCTTCCTGGGCCGTCTTTGAGCCCCCTTGGGGGCCTCTTGGGCCGTCTTGGGGCGATCTTTGGGGCCTCTTGGGCCGTTTTGGAGTG